GTCCCCCTTTGGGGGGGGGGGGGGTGATTTCTCGCTTTCTATCTCTCTATCTCTCTCTGGCGAGCACACGTGCCCTATAGCAAAAATAAATAAATAAAAATAAATAAATAAATAAATAAAGGTTCCAGCAAAGCCAACTAAATTAATTACTATTCTTATGGGGCTTTGTGCAAATAACAGACCAAATTGAGACTAAGTTCAGTTTTTGTGCAAATAACTTAGTTTATGCTTCTCTTTGGTAAAAGGGGGAATGGAGAGAGAAAAATGTTTCAGAAGAAAATTATAGTGCATTTATTACTGGATTTTAGCTTTGTTCATATCTGTTTTTTTGAGTTTTTAGTATCTATCTACTGTTTGACCAGAATCCTAACCTTTTCCCCAGCTTTAAGTCTTAAGCAAATTTTTCTTTAAATTTTTAAATTTTGATTTATTAAAGCTAAAACTGCTTTCTTGACATTGAAAAAAAAAAAAAAACACAAAACCTATCTAATGACCACAGTAAGCCATATAGCCTCATCTAGGTGTTATAGTATGTTCATTCTACTCACTGAGTTTTATGCCTAAAAGTCAGACATGTGTTCACAGATATGTTTATATCAGCTATACTTGCTATTGAAAAGTATTTAGATTAATTAAGATCTTTTGTGAATCAATAAAATGTAGAAAAAAGCAAAACTGATGTAGACTTAAAACTACTTCTATAGAATCTAGAATTGAAGTCTATTTTTCTGTATCAATTCTCTTGAGAATAGAAGACTATTCCATACAATGCCCTTCCAGTGCTGCTACCAAATCACTCTTTGGTCTGTTATCTTATACCTAAGCATTTTCTAAAATGTTTAAGTTAATATAATTAATTGATGTTGGTTCATATGTAAATCACCCAAGGTCCCAGCAAGTCCACTCATAGGTATATAAGGAAAAAACACTTGTCCTTGCAGATCAGAAGACATGTAGAATACTCAGAGCAGCATTGAAAAATGCTAGAGATAGGAGAATGGATAAAATGTACACAATGGAATAATACATACCAACAAAAACAGAATGAACTATCACCACTTCCAACAACATGTTTAATTCTTAAAGGTATAACAGCGGGCCAGCCAGTGGCATGGTGGTTCAGGCAGATGGATCCCACAAGGCTGACTGTGTGGTGAGTCTCAGACCCTGTGGCTTGAGAAACATGCCCAGTGTGTGTGTGTGTGTGTGTGTGTGTGTGTGTGTGTGTGTGTGTATGTACATACACACATGCGTGAGTGTCTAAAACCTGAGAGGAGAATGGAAAAAAAGGGGATTGAGGTGGCCATCCCTCCTGGGGTATGATTTCTCATGTTTCCTCTCTCTCTCACTCTTTCTCTCTCTCTCCCTTTCTCTGTCTCTATCCAGTGAGAACACATGCCCTACTGCAAAAACTGAAGGTTAAAAAAAAAAAAGATGTAACAGCAAGTGAAAAAAATTAAGTCACCAAATAAATCAAAATACTACTTTAATAAAGCTCAATAACTAGAGAATGAATTCTTTAGAAATATATGCATAAGTGATAAAATAGTGTTTAGAAAAGCAAAAGAGCAAAGGAATGATAAGTTCAAGATATTTGGATTCTGTGAGTAGAGAGCTGGCATGGAATCAGTTCTCATGGATGGCTTCAATGGTATTGGTAATATTCTAATTCTTACATTGGGTGTTGGTTACAGTATCTATTTCATTATGTTGCATTATTTATACACACAAAGAGACATAAAGATATTAAATAAAACCCTTTATATGTAGTAAATATTCCATTCTCTTTAAAGTTAATTTAATTACCCAGTGAAGTCATGAAAGAACTAAAAGAATCCTAAGAAAGCTTGCCTAGGACTAAAGCTTTTCTTTTCTTTCTCTCTTTGATAGCAAAATACTGCTAGGATACTACCTCCCCACTACTTTCCCTAAAGAAAGTTAACTAAATAATTTAAAAAAAAAAAAAGTTAACATCTAATTACTGGAAAAGGTAATTTTCTGATCGTGTTTATCCTGGTGGGAAGATCAAGGAAAGGGTTTTCGACAAACTGGTTTATCTTGTCACTGGAGTTATAGTAAAGTGTCTTCTAAATTTCCCCAAAGCAAATGCCTCTATGTCTGAAAATAAAGAGGTTCATTAAAGAGGTTTATTAGATGGGCATGGCATCTCTCGTATCCTACAAATCCTCTAAAATATCCATAGGGGCATACTTACCCCCTAAGGGCCAAAAACTGGTTCCTGGAGTGGGTCTTAGCTATTTTAATGGTTTATGCTTCTCTAAGAGGACACAGTGCAATATATTTGTGGCACTAAAATTTCATGGGGTTGGGAGGGAAAATGTCCCTAAGAGAGCTACAATGAAAAATAGATTGAAAAACACTGCCCTAAGACCTACACTGCTGAGGAATCTCACATGTAATTTCATGACGCAAGGATACAATTCACCTGAGCCTGGACAACTAACCTGCTTTATAAATACCGGATGTCCTTTCAACTATTTTCTTCACTACTTCAGGCTTAAATTTAACTTCGTGGCACACAATCTACTCTTTCTTATCGCAGTCAAATCAGTCTCCTTGCTTTCTAAAGATGAAACGAGAATTAAGAAGCCCTAATTTATTATTATTATTATTGTTGTTATTATCATCTCGCCCTTACCCTTACCCTTGCCTATCAGGTACAGTGTAAAACTGCACGGTATTCCCTATGCTCAGCAGATCTATGACTTCTTACTCTGATCTCAAATACATGATTAAGAACCTAAACACTTCGGGAGTTTTTCCGCTACATTTCACAAATCTCGGTTTACTTTGGCCACGGCCTTCCCT